ACACTGGATGATCTACTCCAAGGCTGCCTGTAAACTTCCCAGGGCACTGAACGGTCTGCCTCTTGTCACCCAGAATGTGCGTGTTCGGTCCCACCTAGCTTAACCGCTGGAGCAGGGAAGATTTCCTTCCCTCTTCTTTTTTGAAAAGCAGAGTCATGAGGAGTAAATGACTTGTAAGGGTCCCCCATAAAAACTTGAAATGAGGAAACGACATGGCTAAGAATTCCGTGAAGGCAGGCCGCTTAATCCACTTCTCTCCCTTCAGAGTTTATTCCTTTACCAGGACAAAATGTCAGGTAGCGATCTTTTGTCTATTTAAGTGAGTTTTACTTTTGTGGGAGAAGGCTTTCTGACTTCCTATATCTCCATGTCAGTGACCATAAGTGTGGGTCCTCTCTCTGGCCTTCTAGAAGGAACTCGAAAGCCCTCGTGAGGATTCATGCTCCCAGTTTAAGCTGCACAAAACAGATCTTCGTGGGTCTTTATCTTGCTTCTTGTGTACAAGATACTAATCCACAGACAACTGCAATGTGCTGCGTGTCTCTGTGCTCAGAGCAGCATGGGAAGCCTCGCTGATTCACGCACTTTGCTGATTGCAGTCCCGGATGAAATTCTTCCTGCTGCTGCCCAGAGAGCTGGCTGTCTGCTCAGGGTGTAAATGTGTGCCTGCAAATTGGATGGTGGCTCTCCCGATGCTGCCAGACCCTTCAGAACATAAGGTTGAAGCCTCAATTGTCCAGCTGCACTGGTTCTCTCTACCCAAGTTGTGCCAAGGCCTGGGCGAGGGAGCTCTGCTCCCCTGCGTCCCTGCCTTGGCCCTGGAATGACCCTGTTCCCTGCCCCTGAGCCATCTCCACGCAGCTCCAGCTGGGATTCACTTCCTTCATGGCAACTACATGTAGTAGCCCAAGTGTGCATATAGGTGGGTTGCCGCACACTCCCCAGGCCAGAGGAACTGGGTGTGGGACAGAGGGGCTGGGGGAGAGAGAGGGACCCTGCCTCTTAGGAGAATCTGGGATCTGTCACGGTGCAGGTCAGCTTGGACTCCAAAGTATTACACAGCTTTGTGAGTCTGTCCACCACGCTGCCTTGGGGAGACCATGCCACCAGGGTGTTGACTGGGGTGCTACCAGACTCTTTCACTCAAGCCACCCCTTCCCACCTACTGTTCAAGACTCACTGCTCACTGGCTCATCAGACACCCTCTCCCTTTCTCCTG